CAATTATATCTCAGTAAAGCTAAAAAAATAAAACATGCGTAAAGAGAGAACGTGAGTGCGAGAGGGCCGTTGGGCTGGAGGACCGGTGAGCATCAGCTTGCTTATCCTTGAGGTTTGTTCTTCCTTTACCGTATTGGGAAGGATTCAGGGAAATAAAGTAAACTTTTGGAGATATTTTAATGCAGAATATTTCAAATAGATTTATTTATTTCTGCGTAGCCCCTGAAACTCTGCCAAAATTGTGTTGTTATTAGAAAACTAGTGAAAAATTCAAGACCAAGTCAATATTCAGTTCTTTGTCTTTGTGAAAATCCTGGACCTCATTATCTCTTATTTTATGAGATCTTTTAATATTTAATATTATTACATTGACTTTTGATAAGTTTTTACAGATCAGTGCATTTTCATTATCTATCAAGATGTTCTTTATTTTAATAAACTTTTTTATGAGTACACTTCTTTGCATATATTTATCATTACCTCATATAAAGTGACAGGAAAATCATAAAATTATTATGGTCTTAAATAGTATTTTCGTTTCCACTTTGCGTGCTAACTTTTAATAAAATCTCTCCAGTGATAGGTTTCTTCACTGTAAAGATATATGTCGCAGAGGTGATGAAGAACCTGCTGAGATTACTTAGACGTCTTTGTCCAACGCGAATTACTGTCGTCTTATACCTTTTTCAAATGTATTGTAAACAACTTAATATAATATATAAATTAACCCAAATTATGAAAAATTTTAGGCGTATCCAAAATTTTCCCTTACATTCCAAGGGAAAACCCTCTATTTTATTTTTATTTGTAAATGCCAGTGGTTTTTTCCCTCCCTCCCTCCTTCCTTCTTTTCTTCTTCTCTCTTTCTATTATTTATCTCGATAAGAACACTTAACATGAGATCTACTTTCTTAACAGCTTTTTAAGCATACAATACACTATTGTTAACTACAGGCACGATGTTGTACAGCAGGTCTCCAGAACTGACTCATCTTGCATAATTGGAAGTTTATATCCTTTGATCAGCATCTCCCTATTTCCGTCTCCCCACAGCGCCTAACAAACATCATTCTACTCTCTGCTTCTCTGTGTTTGGATATTTTAGATGCCTCAAATACGGGTAATCATGCCATATTTGTCCTTGTATAACTGGCTTATTTTACTTAGTATAACATCCTCCAGATTCATAAATATTGTCATATATGGAAGGATTTCCTTTGTTAAGGCTGAGTAATATTTCATCATATGTGTATACCACATTTTATTTATCCGTTTATCTATTAATGGATATTTAGATTGTTTATATATCTAAACTATTGTGAATAATGCTGCAATGAACATGGGAGTGCTAATATCTCTTTGGGATAATGCTTTCAATTCTTTTGGATAAATACCTGGAAGTAGAATTACTGGATCATATGGTAGTTCTATTTTTTAATTTTTGAGGACCCTCTGTACTGTTTTCCTTAGTGGCTGTGCCATCTTACATTCCCACCAACAGTGTACAAGGATTCCAATTTGTCCACATCCTCAGCAAAACTCGTTATTTTTTGTTTTTTTGATAATAGCCATCCTAACAGATGTGAAGTAATATCTCATAGTGATTTTGATTTTCATTTCCCCAATAATTAGTGATGTTGAGCACATTTTCACATATCCGTATGTATTTTTCAGGAAATGTCTATTTAAATCCTTTGCCCTTTTTATTTTGTGGTGTGGAAGATTGGCCCTGAGCTAACGTCTGTTCCAGTCTTCCTCTATTTTGTATGGAGGATGCCACCACAGCATGGCTAATGACTGGCATAGGTCTGCGCTTGGGCTCTGAACCCGTGAAGTGGAGCACACAAACTTAACCATTACACCACTGGGCCGGCCCCTTTGCCTATTTTTAATCAGATTATTTATTTTTCTGCTTTGAGTTGCAGGAATTCCTTATATATTTTGGATATTAACCTTTTATCATATTATGTTTTGCAAATATTTTTTCCCATTCTGTAGTTTGCCTTTTCACTCTGTCACTTGTTTCCTGTGCAGAAGCTTTTTAGTGCAATATACTCCCACTTGTCTTTTTTTGCTTTTGCTGCTTGTGCTTTTGGTGTCATATGCAAAAAATCATTGCCAAGACCAATGTCATGAAGCTTTTCCCTATGTTTTCTTCTGAGAGTTTTATAGTTTCAGGTCTTACGTTTAAGTCTTTAAGCTATTTTGAGTTGATTTTTATATATTGTATAAGATAAGGGTCCACATTCATTCTCTTGCATGTAGATATCCTGTTTTCCCAACAACGTTTGTTGAAGAGACTTATCTTTCCCCATTGTGTGTTTTTGGCTGCTTTATTAAAGATCACTTAACTGTGTGTGCATGGCATTATTTCTAGGGTCTCTATTCTGTCCCATTTGTCTATATGTTTTTATGCCAGTACCATCCTCGTTTCCTTTTTTAAAATGAAAATTGAATATTTTTAAGGTATACAACATGATTATTTGATATATGTATGTATATACACATAGTGAAATGATTACTACAATCAAGGTAATTATCATTTGAACTCTATACGTAGTTACCATATATCTGTGTGATGAGAGGACCTGAAATATACTGTCAGCAAATTTTTAGTATTTGATACAGTATTATTAACTATAGTCATCATCTCTAGACTTATTCATCCTCCATAGCTGCAACTTTGTACCCTGTGACCAGCATCTTCTCGTTGCCCCACCTGCCTGCCCTAATAGAATAACCCTTTTCTACTCTCTGCTTCTACGTATTTGACTATTTTTTAAATTCCACATGTAAGTGATAGCATGCGTTTTTATTTTCTTTCTGTGTCTGCCTTATTTCACTTAGTATAAGCTCTTCCAGGTTTATCCATGTTGCTGCAAATGGCAGGATAATCGTTTTTAAGGCTTAATATCCCCTTATATATCTGCCACAATTTATTTATCCATTCATCCGTCAATCAGCACTTACATTGTTTCCATGTCTTGGTTATTGTAAATAATGCTTCAGTAGATATGAGCATGCACATATCTTTTTGAAGTACTGATTTTATTTCTTTTGGGTCTACATTCATAAGAGGGGTGCCTGGGTCATGTGGTAGTTCTATATTTAGATTTTTTAGGAACTTCCATACCATTTTCCACAATAGCTGTACCAGTTTACATTTCCACCAACAATGTATAAGTACCATACCCTTTTGATTACTGTAGCTTTGTAATATATTTTAAAATCAGTAAGTGGGATGCCTCCACTTTTGTTCTCCTTGCCCATAATTGTATTGGCCATTCGAGGTCTTTTGTAGTTCCATATAAATTTTAGGAATTTTTTTTCTACTTCTGTAAAAAAATACCATTGGCGGGGCCAGCCCGGTGGCGCAGTGGTTAAGTGTGCATGTTCCGCTTCTCGGTAGCCCAGGGTTTGCTGGTTCTGATCCCGGGTGCGGGCATGGCACCACTTGGCAAAAACCATGCTGTGGTAGGCATCCCATGCATAAAGTAGAGGAAGATGGGCATGGATGTTAGCTCAGGGCCAGTCTTCCTCAGCAAAAAGAGGAGGATTGGCAGTAGTTAGCTCAGGGCTAATCTTCCTCAAAAAAACCAAAAAATACCATTGGTATTCTCATAGGGATTCCATTGAATCTATAGATCACTTTGGGTAGTACGGACATTTTACCAATATTAATTCCTTCAGTCCAAGAACACATGATGCCTTTCCATTTATTTGTGTCTTCTTTAATTTCTTTCATTAATGTTTTGTAGTTTTCAATGTACAAGTCTTTCATCTCTTTGGTTAAGTTTATTCCTATTTTATTCTTTTCGATGCTATTTTAAATGGGATAGTTTTCTTAATTCCCTTTTTGGGGAGTTCATTGTTCATATAAAGAAGCACACAGATTAATTCAAGGGCATGAGCTCAACTTCTAGGCCTCTACTCCCAAGAATATCTGATAAGTCTGACCCACTGCAAGGGGAAAGGAGACAACTGAGAGTCTCTGTTCTTTAGATGATTTCATCTCTGTGAATTGCAGGGAATCTATACTCAGTGTGGACTTTATTATTTACTAGCTGAGCTTAGCCCAAGTTTTCTCCTCTGTGAGCTTCATGAGTCAGTATTACTGTAATTTAAAAGAGTTGTTCTGGGTTTGAGTGAAATAATAGAAACTATGTTTAATTTTTGTCAATTAAGAATAATTTTAATCTTTTGTCCAATGGACATTATCATCCCCTTTATTTACTCCTATAAAAGCAGGGTGCATTTCAGCAAGAAAACCCTTTGATGCCTAGAAACATTACTCCCTCCCTCATCCCAGGGACAGTTGAAGACAGCTCTCTCTGGGCTGGTTGTTGGATCTGAACTCAGCGTATGTCAGGCATCCCTGAAATCCCAGTCCTTTCACAGGGTCTTCATGACTTCTCTCCATTACTTCACTTCTAGTAAAGTTCAGGCATTTGACAAATTCACAATCAAATAAAGTATGCGAGATGACTACTTTTTACAGTACTTTGCCATCATCTTCCCCTAAGTAATTTCATTTGTGCAAATGTGTATATGCGGAAGCGTCTCCAGACGTGGTGTGAGCATTTATGACCTCACGGTGACAGCTTTAAGGTGCTCTCAGGTAAAGTAAAAGATCGTCTTCTGATTGGCAGTGTTGCTTGGATTTTCCCTGTACTTGAAAAATGAAAGGTGGGAAACTTGGGCCATAAGCGTGAATTATATTCTTTAATTTCAGTTATCCAGATATTTCAGAGGAAAATGGTTTGGGTTTAAATTCTCAAATAAGAGACTGATTTCTATATCAAGAGTATTTCTCTTTTTCATTAAAGTTGAAATCATTTTACGTTTGGTCGCAATCACATGCACCATCATGGCTCTGGTGCCATTATTGCAATCTTGCATTATTATTGCTGTGCTACATTTTAAGTTTTTCTTATAAGAATATTGTGATGTTTGAATTCATTTAATTAATATTAATCACATTCATTAAAATTTGTTAACAGGAGAATTTCACTGTGGATTTGAAGATGGTAACATTTGTTTGTTCACCCAAGATGATACGGATAATTTTGACTGGACAAAGCAAAGTACTGCAACAAGAAATACAAAATACACTCCAAACACGGGACCTAACGCTGATCGTAGTGGCTCCAAAGAAGGTAGGAGGGTCTGACATGGTGTGTTCATAACAATCGTACTCCAGCCTTGGCCTTTGAGAAACGCCCTTAGTATGAAATGCAAGAGTGTACTTAGCTACAGATTTGAAGTTGGTGGAATAAAACATTAAATTTTCTATGTACAGTATCAATAATTCAGATTTTTCAAAGTTTGTAGACATTAATTTTCCCTCAGAACTCGTTGAAATACATAGTTGAGAGATTAGGAATTTTTTTTTTGATATTTCAAGTCTAAAATTCCAATTTTGTCTGAAGCTTTTATATATTTTAAACAATTTATCTTTACTTATATAGATCATTTACTTTTTATATTAGTATCCATATACAGATTTTATAGATGAGGTGCAAACCCTCCTGTCAATTTTTACTTCATATGAAAATTCCAAAACTTCTGAGTAATTTCAAATTTCATGTCATCCCTAATAATAATGTGTTTAAACATTGTATTTTTTCTTTTTAAAGGTTTTTATATGTACATTGAGACGTCTCGGCCCAGATTAGAAGGTGAAAAGGCTCGACTTCTCAGCCCTGTTTTCAGCATAGCTCCCAAAAACCCATATGGACCCACGAACACTGCATATTGTTTCAGCTTCTTTTATCACATGTATGGACAACATATAGGTGAGATGGCAAGAATTACTCTGTTTCTTCTAAAGTAAATCATAACTAAAGAGTAAAGGTTCCAAACAACACCGTGAAATCTGTTTTAGTCAAAGGATACCATCATTGACTTTTAAATTACTTGCCTGAAAATTGCAAAATAAGATGCTAAGAATGTTCCCCCATGGTATCCTAGTTTCCCAAATTAAGATTAGAATTTGAAATTTTGGAGCATTACCTGCCTCCTCTGGAATTCTAATCACGTAGACCGCCAATGGGTTAAGTTATTTTGAGATCTTGTGGAATTAATATCAGAATAATTTAGGCTGCTTCTTTCCAAAGAAATCTGAATAATGACTCAGTGTGTATCAATGATCATGAAAAGGAGTATTGTCGTATTTGGAAGATGAGTGCTTTTAGCACCATCTACACATTTGGAACACTGGTGTGATATTTTCCTGTTTATGAAATATGCCTAACACGCCTAGCAGGATTTAAGAACATCCTTGGTCCTGAAGAAGATGCAAAGGTAAAGACACACTCCTGCCCTTAGAGCCCTTGCACAGTGATGGAGGCTGAGATGAGTAAAGACGCCAGCTCGCAGAATACCACATAATCTAGAGAAAGAACATAGCAAAACTGATCATATGGGTCTATAATTCTTTATGTGAAAATCTAAAATCAAAAAGACCAAACACAAATTTTTTTAATTTAATTATTTGGCAGCATGTGCTGACTCATCTACGTGTGTTAGACTATAAGACTTGAACTGATATGAGCCTATTTATAGTCTGTATGTATCCAAATGAGTGTGAATATTTTTGTACTATTTGCAGCAGAAATATTACTACATTTAATTATGGGATCCTCTACCAGATCCTTTCGGGGATGTCACATAATATACAAGATATAGGCTATTTTGACTTTCTAAAATAAGACAAAGTTGTGAATGGTGAAGCATATCTAGCCCCAGAAAGCTTGGATGAGAGGTTATGGATCTGTACTCCATTGAAGAATAGGTCAGTGCTTTAGGACAAAGGAAAACATTTCTCTACGAAGGGAGGTACATTTTCAATAGACAGAGGTGAACACAGGGAGGATTAAGGCCCTGGTCATGAGGAAGCAAGACGCAGGAAGTTAAGATGACATTGTGTCTTGACATAAATTAATAAAACTAAAAATATAAATACATTTACATAAACTAATAAAATTGTGCACGAGATATATGCCAGCTACTGTACTATTTAAATGAAGTAATCCTCATAACAAGTTGATAAAAATGAGTATCACTATTCGTCTTTACGGTGGAGAAAGCTGAACCACAGAGAGTTCGTATGAATTGCAAGAAAGTGGTGATGCTGATATTCATACTTAAGCCACACTGTTAAGTGTTCTTCAAAGTGGGGCAACAGGTGACGAGCCTGGAAGGATAGCTCTTGTGCGTTACAAATGCCCTCAACGTGAAGTCAGGAAACCTGGGTGGGCGCTTAACGTAGCAGTCAGTCACTGGAAGAGTTTAGAGACGTCACTTAAAATGTCTACATCTTGGTCTCTTCATCTGTAAAATAGAAACAACTCCTATTTTGGAAATTTGTAGTTCAAGATAAACGAGATAACATTTATAAAATCTTCCGTCAGATGGTAGACATTCATAATCTTAAGTTACTTTGAATCTCAAATAGCAGCAGTAACAGCAATAATAAAGTAATAGCTAATGTTTCTGGAGTACTCATCTTGGACCAAGACACTGCTCCTAATGCATCACAGATTATTCCTCTTAATTTTCACAATAAAGATTTGTGCTAATTAAGATCCTTATCCTGTTTCATTGATAAGGAAATTGAAATACAGAGAACTTTAATTATCACCATATCGTAGCTGATAAGTACTGAAGCCATGATACTGCTCTGGGAAGCTGGATTCAGTGTCCGCCTGCTTCACCGCTCCACAGGGAGAATTATTGGAATGTCAGGAAAGCTTAGCTATTTAATAGTCGGGGGAAGTTATTACAGATTTTGTGCAGACAGTGAGCATAAGATTTTTGATTTGGGAAGATAAAGCCTATCAGGCTGGCTAAAGTCATTGAGAAACAGAAGAGAGACTGGAAAAGCAGTTGGAAAGTGAGCATAGTCACGTCCTCACTGAGGCCTGCGCTATGAAAGGAAGTCAGTCTCCACACGATTGCCAGCTGTCCTATTTGCACGAGATCACTATCTTCCTACAAAGGTGGGGTTAGCTCAACTCCAGTTCTTCCCTTTAGTGGATCGGGTGTATTTAACTTACTCTGTAGTTTGAATATATTTCATGGACTTTCTTTCTCGTCTTCAAATTTACCTTGCAACAGGCACATTTTTAGTTGGTTTTTAAATAAATAATTCTATCAATATTTTGAATTACTTTATTGAGGAAATTTGTATCTACCTTATTTATGAGTCTCCCTCTCAAAATTTCTTCGTATTTGCGTTGAGTCCCGAGATAATTTTAACACACTTTTAACTTTGCACTTGTTTTTCATATCCTCTTTGTTGTCCATGGGTGTCCAGATGAACTCTGCTAGTTTTATTCTGATTATTTCAGAGAGAAGGCAGTTCTCCATTTCTTCCATGTTCTCATACATTTGCCACATTGATACCTGTGCCATTTCTCTGCTTCATCAGATGGTTGAAGGTTGTAGGCATCAGGTCTGTCACTTGTGTCCCTCTCAGCAGGGTACGATCATGTTGCACTAAAATCTAGGCAAAATATCTGTTCCGGACATTGACTAATCAATTAGGACGAGATGAGCTGCCTCATTAGGGAGATGCTGCCTGTAGCTGAAACCTTCCCTCTTTGCAAATATTATTCTAAGACACTCATTCATCTGTAAACCTGGGGGGCATCTATAGTCACTGGTTTTACAAATTACATTCTCAGTTTTATTCATTCTTTTGGAAACCCAGATTCAAAAATGATTTGTCCTGGATTTCTAATAGCTTAATTGCAGTTACTATTCTTGGGTAACCATAAATAATCCTTGCTATTTTAGCTGTGACTAACAGGCAATGTATCATTGAGAAGCGTCATAATTTTTTAATAGTACAAAAATGGGTGATCAGTTGTACATTACTTAGAAAGGAGATTCCTCTTTGAAACAAAGTCAAATATGTTACATTACTTATCTATTGCTGTGTAAGAAATTTCCCCCAAATTTTGTGACTTAATACAATGACCATTTGTTATGTCACCGTTTCTGTGGATCAGGAAGATGGGTATGGCTTAGCTGGGTGCCTGTAGCTCAAGCTCTCATGAGGTTGCAGACAGGCTGTCAGGCAGGACCGCAGTCTAATTTGAGAACTCCGTTGGGGAGGATATACTTCTAAGCCCACTCACTAAGTTTTTGCCAGGCCTCACTCCCCCACAGGGGTTGGACAAAGATATTGATTTCCTAGTGGCTGTTAGCCGGAGACTTCTCTCAATTCCTCACATGTGGACATCTCTATAGGACTGTTTCATGCAACACGCTTCCTCCAAAGCAAGCAGTTCCCCAGAGAGAGCAAACACATGCCCAAGGCTTTAGGTAACCTCATCTCCGAAGTGACATCCCAGAACTTCTGCCTTAGTCTCTTTATTATAATTGAGTTGATGATTCCAACCCACACTCAAGGCGAGGAAAACAGGAGGTTGAAATCATTGGGAGGCGTCTTAGAGGTTGTCTGCCACACTGGTACAATTTCTTGTAAGTTCAAGGTTTCATCAAAATTGATTGAAGAAAAAAACTAAACGAAGGCTACAATGTGTTAACTTTAAACTCACTGTTGATGTTTATGTACATGATACAATATCTGGCTATTGGCAATAATATAAGATGATTTCAGCAATCCTTTGGCTACTAGTAGGCATTTTGACTTTTGACTAACCAACTGAATTTCTAATGTTCTTGCAAAGAAATCGAATCTCATATGAGGTCGCTGAATATGACAAAAGCTCAGTAAAATAGGTACTTCATTTATTGCTAGATCAGTAAAACAGCTACTTCATTTCTAGAAAGAAGAACGTGGGATATAAGCATCATATCATACTAGGAAATTAAAGATAACAATACAAAATCACTTAGGAATACGTTTATGGAACTTGGTAAGAATGGCTCACTGAAGTTGAGGCTCTAGAAAGCTAATTTCACTATGGAACACATGGGAGGCAAGGAGAAGGGGTTTGTTAACGAAGTCTATTCTCATGAATCTGGAGGGTGAGGAAGGAGTGATAAGTGGAGAGAAGTGGGGCTGGAGAAGGGCCTATTTTAAGAGGAAAAAGAGATAATAGAAAGGGTAAGTTTAGAGACACAAAAATAAAAGGGAAGGAAGTTTCCTGAAAAGATGGGAATTTGGAGCTGGGGTCATGAATTAGCCTTGAAGAGGAGAACCAATGTCACTTCCACTGAGGTGGGAAGGAAATAAGTAAAAGTGTGGCTTCCGATGCATTCCTAGATGCCAGAACAGCAAACAGACATGAAATTTGCCTTCCTGCCAGTCTCTATTTTCTCTGTAAGATAAATGAAAAGGTTGTGTTTTGAAAGAGGAAGCCGTTTTCAAAAAGTGTGGACGGCAGCAGATACTGCTCAACCAGATAGAGAGAGGTGGAGAGGCTGGCGATCAGGTCACAGTCCTGTGCGTTTTGAACTGCATTTTAGAATATGATGCTCAGTTTGCCTCCCTGCCATGTCTCGCGTACAGTACTGAATTAGCCTGGTAATTGATTTCCCTGGTATCTCTTTGGCCCATAGTTTCTGGGGGTAAAGATTATTCTCTACAACTAGTAACATAGCGACCTCAAGGATATATGCCTTTCTGGCATCTCCTTGGGGCAGCTCCATAGTTTATTCCAGCCATACACGAGATTCCCCAGCTCGAGCTCTGTTGTATCTGGGGCCTCTTCGTAGGCTGTATCCTTGGTCCTGCTGACTGCATGCTTGAGATGAACAGAAACAATGTTTCTCCCCATCACATGGTACCCTGCAGAGGTAAATGTTTATTTGACCACTCCAT